GCGGCAGCGGCTGGGGGCGCGAAGCATGCCTCGGGGATGTCCGAAGGATGCGGACGTCGAGGAACTGGTCGAGCCTGGCTTGGTTGACGGGCTTGGCCGCGACGATCGGCTTCCAGTGGTCTGTCAACGCCTTCAGCGTGCATTCGGTGTCCTGGGCTAGCAGTTCGCCTCGTGGGATCTTGGCGCCCTTGAGCTGCGGCCGCGAGGCGAAGGGCGCCCAGCGTTGGCTCGGATGTTGGAGCACGCGCTGTTGCTTCAAGATGTGCTCGAGATCGCGCGCTCTCTGGAGGCGCGCTGATTTGGCGGCGTTGGCCTCCGCCTTCTTGTGGGGAACTGGCAAGGCGGGTGATTGACTGCAGAGGCGGCGAAGTCCGTCTCGTTGTCCAGCGCGACGCCGTCGCCCTCGATGTCCAGGTGCTCCTTGCCCCGCTCTGTCTGATGAGTGAGGTTGGCCGCGAGCCTTGTGTCTGTCTGCGCGCCGTGCGAGAGATGGAGCGCGCGGCGATGGCGCGAACCGCGATGGCAGGCCGATGATTTGGGCCTTCAGGCATGTGAGTGAGGAGGCCCTGGTGAGCTTCGCCGCGTTGGTCAGGTTGAACTTCATGTTTCGCGGGCGCTGAGCTGGACAGCGGCCTTGCAAGTTGGAGAGGGATTACACAGGACCTAAAGACGTAAGAACTGCGTGACCTTGAAAAGGAAGTCGGGAATGCACTGGTTCTCGTCCTGCGCCGATTCCGCCAAATTCAAGCGTGGCAACAGGGTGCCGTGGTCGCTCAGGCGGCGGGCGCCAGTTCGAGCATTCGCATCTTGGTCCGCATGTGTATGGGCGGACATGTCCGGGATGGCGTGAGCGGGAATACTGGCGCATGCTCGGTCGATCCTCGTGGCCATCAGTGCAAGGCGGCCGAACCTCGTCGGGTGTCCGCTTTCGACCTTCACCACGCAGTCAATCGGGCGCTTCCAGAACGAGTGATGGCATTGGTCGCCCGACGGAGCAGCGAGGTTCACTGCGGGCCATGGGTGCCGAGGCTGAGGGCGCACTTCCCCTTCGGTGTATCGATGGGCGACGGGGGCCCACCGGGCACGCGGAAACCGCCGAGCGCCGCGAAGACTCTGCCGCGAGGAACGGCCGCCGCCCAATTCTGCAGACGGGGCCGCTCCGGCTGAACATCGGCACGATGCCGAAGTTCGAGGTCGCGGCTGCGGGCGCTCACGATGACGACGGGGCACCCCTCACCGCAGAACTTGTCGACGACCGCGCGGTGGCGGGAGCCAGCGGCGTCGGCAACTTTGTGCGCTCAAGAGGTAGGTGGGGGAGCTGGGGGGGCCAGCTGCCAGCGGGCGGCGATCGCGCTGAAGCTATCAGTACAGGAGCGAGTGAGGAGTCCGAGGGGCTTGATAGTGGCGAGAAAGTAGAAGTGGCGGCGCGCTGGGCCAAAGTAGTGTTGGAGACCGACTCGGTCTCCATCCCAGAGACGGGCGCACCCGGTACCTCGGACACTGGGCTGCGGTTCGCGACTTGGGTCGAGGGGCGGTCGGGAATTGGGACAACTGCGCCACTTTTCCCCGCCCTCTCGAAACCACTGAAGAACGTGAGGTCTGGGTACGGTAATGAATCCAAAGGACGTCGTAAGCGCGATACGATGTCGTGATGTTTTTTCGTGCGCTGCAAAGATGGCCATCCGCTGCAAGTAATTCTTGAGGGTTATGATCGTTTTCTGGCGACGGCGCAGGCTGTAGCAGATCAGACGTCTGGCCTTTCACGAGACAAGCGTCGCGGGCGTGAGGCGTCACCGAGGTCCTCGGGACCGAGCAAGTGTTCCCCCGCTGCATGCCCCGATCTTCCACGGAGAACGAGTTGAACTCGGCGATGATGCGGCCCTCGTCAGGCCCGCAGCGGACGGCGAGCTGTTTGTCGAAGACCAGCGCCGGGTGCGAATCGACGGAGGAGCGAAGAGCGACGAACGAGGAGGAGGAGGAGGAAGGGAAGGAGGACCAGTGTAAACCTTGACTGTAAGCCCAAGAACCACCAACGACGATGGAATAAACCCTCCCCAAGCTCCCTCCTCATAGGCCCCTACAACGGTTCATTTCCACACAGGGACCTACCTCGTTGGAGAACAACCGTTTGAACACCTTGAAACATGTCAAAACATGACAGTTGCGACTTGACGAACACGGATGAACCTGACTGTTGCGTCTTGACTATCCTGAATCGCGCCAGCACGCCAATCCTGGGACCTCAACTCCGCGAGTTGTCCCAACTGTTGCGCCCTCAAAATCGTGAGTCCTTCCCAGACGCCATTTCTGGTGCGTCGATTATGGGAATCCGTGAACTCTTCCGATTTTGTATCCAGGATGTGCGCGGCGCGAAGGCGAGAACCACATTTTGAAAAGGACCCGCCTTCAACCCGTGAATCTCTTGCAAATGTTTAAGAAGAGTGTGCGCGGCGCAAAGGTGAAAGGAGAAAAACATGTTGAAAAGGAACCGCCCTCAATCCATGACGCTCTTGCAAATGTTTTAAACGAGTGTGCACGCCGCTAAGGCGATAGCCAAATATAAAAAAAAACGGCCCGCCCTCAATCCGTGAAACATTTGCAGTGTTTTAAACAAATGTGCGCGGCGCTAAAGCGAGAGACACATTGTGAAAACCACCCGCCCTTCATCTGTGAAACTGTTGTCATCTTCTACGCTTCAGGGTCATCAGTGGTGAGGAAGTCTCAGGCGAAACGCCGGGCCCGCCGTAAAAACTGGCCTCGGGGTGCGGCAGGGAGAAGTTATTACTAAGGAGAAAGAGTGGAGGAGGAGAAAGAGCGAGGAAGGAGGAGCGAGAAGCGAGGAGCGAGGGGCGAGGAGGAGGAGGAGGAGGGGGAGGAGGAGGAGGAGGGGGAGGAGCGAGGAGCGAGGAGTGAGGAGGAGGAGGAGGACGAGGAGGATGAGGAGGAGGAGGAGAAGCGAGGAGGAGGAGGAGGAGCGAGGAACCAGGAGGGAGAGCGAGATGACGGAAGAAAAAGGGGTGATGACCATTGGTGGGAATGCGGGGCATGACGACTAGGGAGGCCCAGGCGCTGGACGGAAGACGCGCAGAGTGCGAGAGGCAGCCCTACGGGTGCGGCGGCCCCCTATGCCTCCAACCTTCGAGGCATGTCGAGGCATTTCGGGGCACTACGAGGCGTTTCGAAGAACTGCACGCGCGGCTATGACGAAGTCAGCCTGAGGCGCCGGCCGCGACTTCTCCTCTGGCTTCACCAGCAGGGCCACTGAAACGATGGAGGGGCCAGTTGCCAGAGTGGCTGGCAGGAAGGCCCTTGACGCGAGGAGCGACGAAGAGACGACGAGGTGAGACGAACGCCGGAATCGTGAGCGTTCCGCTAGGAAGCCCGCCCGTGCCCATTAGGGTAGCCTCATTGGGCGAAGTCGTAGACCACAAAATGGGGTTGGGAACGAAAGTCAAACAACTGGGCCATAATCGTGGAGATGGGAACGGGTGCTGAAGACGGAGCTGAAATCGGGAAGGCCAGAGCAAACATCGGACATATTGGAACACTTACCTGGAAAGGCACAAACGGAAATTAGGACAGATGGGAGCCAGAGCCAGGGGGATGAGAACACTGAGGTCGTGGGGGGAGCCACGTCGAAACATCGGAGCCAGAACCCGAGAGAAGAACATGGGCGCCAATGCTGGTCGGACAAGGCTAGGATGAGGAAAAATCCGTTCCAGAGCTATCCGGCATGCTCTCAGAGTGTTCTGGAACGCTCTGAGAAGGCCGCGGCGCCCAATACATTCTCCAGAGCCGCCTGATCTCAAAGATTCTCGATTGTCCTCGCCCGATGTTGCTCTGGTCCTGGTTTTGTCTTTGCTGGGGGAACCAAAAGGCACTCATAACCCTGTGCGGGCGATAATAAGCCCCCTGGGATAATAAAATTCGCGGTTCCCGCGGGGATAACAAAGGATTGTCCTGGGGAAGGTAAGTTATGATGATGATGATGATGATGATGATGATGATGATGATGATGATGATGATGATGATGATGATGATGATGATGATGCTGATGATGATGAAGAAGATGACGACGATGCTGGAGAAGGAGGAGGAAGAGGTTAAACCAGGCGCACGTCCGTTCATAGTCGTCATCGTTGCCGCCGAAGTCCACGGTCGTCATCGTTGCCACAGCGTTGCCACACGCTCGTGATTGCGGAAGCTGGTGTGGTGAGACCACCATGGCCATGCTCAGCGTTTTTGATGCTGTTGCTAATCAACATGATATGATAGCAGCTTCGATCCCCGCAACTTTTCCGTGGATTATGAAGTTCGGCCTCCGCGCCTTCCCCACAGATAAACCCCTGTGGTCGGGGATAAAAAAACATAGAGGGGGTCAAGGGGGAGGGACTTTATTATCGCCCGTGGTCGGTTACCGCTACTCCCCAGACCACTCCTGAGGTGCGTTCTGAACAGAATTTCGAAGCGAATCCAGCGGGGGCGACGAGGGCCTCCCAGGAGGCCCCCCAAAAGGGGAAGACGGGCGAAAGGTATCGGTACGATGGGCACCTCGTCCTTCCTCTGACCTGCGGGAGCCGGAGAGGTGCGAGCAGGAGCCACGGCGAGGGCTCGCCATCGCTCGGACGTCCATTCCTCGTGTATTTTTCGATTTCGTGCGTTTTTTTTCCCCCAATGATCAAGGATGGTCCTCGATGGCCGTCGCCGAAGGAAAAATGCACACGTCCGATCGATGCCAAGCGGCGAGGAGGGCGCTGCTCGAGCAGGGGGCCTTCGGCCCCGCGCCTGCGGCGCGCACGCGGCGCGCGACCGAGGGCCTCGCCATCGCTCGGACGTCCATTCCCTGTGTTTTTGTTCGGTTTCGTGCGTGGTTTTTTCGCCAAATGATCAAGGATGCTCCTCGATGGTCCTCGCCGAAGGAAAAATGCACACGTCCGATCGATGCCAAGGGAGGGGGACGAGCAGGCGGGCAGGGAGGGCGGCGAGAGCCACGAGGCCGCTCAGCCCTCGCAGCCGCTCGCCTGCTGGACGCGGGCCGCGCACGCCTGGGAATAGCGAGAGGCAGCGCCAACACCACCAGGGCGGGGAGATGCGAGGATGCAAAGGGAGCCTCCCTGGTGATGTGGTCCCCCCCCCTCGCGCTCGAGACATCCCCAAGAGCGCCAGCTCGGGGAGGCGTCGTGGACCTCTTCGCCGGAGGAAGAAAAGCCCCCCTGGTGGTGTTGCCGTCGCTTCTCCTCCCTCCGCGCGCCACAGCCCGCTCGTCCTTGGACGGTTTCCCCCGGGGCCGCAGGCGACCCGAGGAGGGGAAGGCGAGGAGGCGGAGGGCGAGGAGGAGGAGGAGATGGCGGAGGAGGAGGGGGAGAGGGAGGAGGAGGAGGAGGCGGAGGAGGAGGAGGAGGCGGAGGAGGAGGAGGAGGACGAGGAGGAGAAGGAGGAGGTGGAGGAGGAGGAGGAGGAGGAGGAGCGAGAAGAGAGCAGAGAGGAGCTAGGAGAGAGCAGGGAGGAACGAGGAGAGGGGAGGAGGACGGGTCGTCTGAGCCCTTCGGGGGGAAACCTTCCGCTCGTCCTCGGGGCCGAACTGCGCCACGAGGTGCCCGTGGGCGGCCCGGAACAACTCCGCGGCCTCCGCCCCGGCCCGCTCCCCCTCGGCCGCGGGCCCGTCGCGCGCGCAGGCGTCCAGGTGCACCGCCAGGTTGTACGCGGCCTCGACGGTCTTGGGGTGCGCGTCCCCCAGGGCCTGTGCAGTCGGGCCGCTGTCCTGGGTAGCCCCTGGAGTGAGGGCAAGAGGCCCCCCTCTTTTCCATAAGTCTGAACTTCCCTGTCCCATAGAAAAGTGTAAGGATCACCTAGGAACGACTTTAAGGACAATGCTCTAGGAATAGCCTGTCTAGGATCATATAGGATAGATCTTCCCCATAAGAACTATCGAGGAGCACCGAGCCCCTCCCCAGGGTTCCTTCTTCAGCGGCCCGACAGTACGGCCCGCCGCCGCGAACAAAAAGCTGCAGCATTGTGCAGCATTGCGGCCAGAAGCACAGGCTCCCACCTCTCTGCGGCAGCACGGTCTCGAGCTGGATCGATCTGTGAGAGCCTCGGGCAGAAGGATAACAAACGCCGTACACATAAACTTTTGGCGCTCCGCGCGGATTCATTGGACTTGCGCTGGACCTCCCTCCCTGGCGCGCGGAGCGCGCCAAGGGCGGCGTCGCAAGCGCCGCGGGGGGGGGGGCCAGGCGCCGATCCAAGAAATCCGCGCGACGCGCCACAAATTTATGTCTGTGGCGCTTTCTCTTCTTCGATCAGGGCTCGAAGCTCGGCGAAACCGCCCAGTGTGAAACGGACCGACCGTCCTGGCATTCCTGAGAGGCCTGCCACGAAACCCTCCTGGTACCGGAGAGAAAGCTCTAAGAACGAAAACCATGTTCTCATAACATAGAAGCCGAGTTGTAACCTCCCCTTAATGAAAACGGCCTAATTAGGTCTGAAACCAGCGGACCTGGACCCGCAAAAATGACGGCCGCGACGCCCCCTCGCGAACCAAACACGGCCAATTCCTTAATCGACGTGTCAGGGTAGGTTGTCTTTCAACTTCCGATATGGGGAAGCCAGGACACTTCGCCAGTGCTTGAGTGCAGCGCCCGGAGCTTGGAGGGGCCTTCGCGCGGTCCGCGTGCACGCTGCGGTAGAGCTTGCCCGCCTCGGCCCGCCGGCCGGTGCTGTCGAGCAGCACCGCCAGGTTGTGGGCGGAGCGCAGCGTGTCCTCGTGCCGGCGAATGAAGGGCACTTTCCTGCTCCTCCTCCGGCTGCTCCTCCTCCAACTCCTGTTCCTCCTCCTCGTCTTCCTCCTCCTCCTCCTCCTTCTCTTTCCCTCTTGCTCCTCCTGCTCCTCCTCCTCCTCCTCCTCCTCCTCCTCCTCCTCCTCTCCCTCCTCCTCCTCGTCGTCCTCCTCCTCCTCCTCCTCCTCCTCCTCCTCCTCCTCCTCTCACTGCCGCGGGGAGCGTCTCGGCGGGAAACCAGACCTTGCTTCGAGTGACTGCTTACCCCCCCAGGAGCTTCAGTACATCACGATGTAGATTTCGAATTGCAAACTTGTTGTCTGGTATTGATTGATATTCGGTCTTCGCTTGGCGTGCGCTCTTCACGTGTAGCTCACATGTTCTGCTCTCTGCGCTGAAAAATACAGATTGGCTTGTGTCGCTGGTGTGCGTTACGTTGGCCCGTGCTTGATATGTGCTCTGGATGCATGCAGCAGCTGTGTGTTTCCTCGGTGTCTGCTGTTGGCGATCACTGTCGATGCTTGTTGTGGGCGTGTGATCGACGGGCCGGTGATTCATATGCGCAATTGGTGCATCTGTTTTGATGTGATCTCCCGGTGGCAGATCTAGATGTTGGTTCTCTGTGCACCCTCTGTCTGTGGTATGTATTTATGTATATAGTTATACAGATATGTGTATATATATATATGTATATATGTGTATATATATATATATATATATAAATCCTCAAACGTGCCTCAAGGCACGAAGTGGAGTTACTCCCAGGTCCTCAAGGGTTCCCTGTTCTCTGTACCCAGGATGAGGGAATCATAATATTCTACAGGCTGGGGCCCAAAATTCTCAAACTTCCAGGGCGGTCACGCTCGCCCAGGAGGCTCCCAAGAGGGTTCCATAAAAATGCTCGCCACTGCGGCCTGATTCGCATGCTCTTCGCGCTTCAGGGCTTCGTCGCCCCTGACTTTCGTCCGACTCGATCTTCCCCCCACATCCGACGGCGCGGAACATCGTGAGAGCACCACTGGAGCCCCGGATCCCATTTGTCTCCTCCGTCATCTTTCGAGCGGGATCCATTTGCGAAGCTCCTGGGGTCTCGAAGCCTGATGCTCACGCCGGGCTCGGAACAGCTGGGACGCCAGGATCTTGGGCTTTGCTTGTGAACGTTTTCTTATTCGCCGTTTCGACAGTGGGCGGAAGGGGGGGGAGGGGAGGAGTCTGGCTCCTGACCTCTGCTCAGCGCGACTGCGCCCATTATGGGGGAGACTCAACTCGCCTGGGGGAGGGGGCGGGTGCGGGGGCCCCCCGCGCCGATTGGCAAAGCAATGAACGAAAAAACGATCACGTTTCTGGCAGTGACGACGCGGCGGCCGGATTCCTCACAATTTCTGGCGCTTGCCACCGTCCGCGCAGCTGCCTGCCTCTGTGTGTGGGGAGGGGGGGGGCGCCGCCTCCTGCTCTCTTCGATGCGCGCGCCCCGTCTCCTGGCGCTCCGCGGTTACCACTGGGTCCCCCTCCAGTTTCCTCCAAGTTCCTCCAGGTTCCTCCAGCTTCCTCTCGATTCCTTCGGATCCCTCCGGTGCCCTCCAGATTCCTCCTCCTCCTCCTCCTGCCTCCTCGTACCTTCTTCCGCCTCCGCCAAAACTTAATGGAGAATACGTGCCGCTGCGCGAAGGAACGGTAAAATATTATGAGGTACGCGAAGCCGATGGTCTGAACAGAAGCTCGTACATCGCAAACGCACTCGACCCGTTGACCCCATGGCCCTCTCAACCCCCTGCTCGAGCATATGCTCGCCAACCCCTTGGGGTCCGCCCGCGTGCGAGACTGTTGCCCCAGCTGTCCTCCCGGACGGCATCAGATGGCCTCGGAACGTCCCACCACGCCCCTTGACAAGCCCGGATGCCCTGGCATCCGCCCCGACTCCACTCCCGCAAATGGCACCAGAACGACCCAAGAACCCCCCGAGAAAGATTCCAATGAGTACACCAAAAAACAAACGCCCCACTCATGGAACAACAACGACAACCTGTTTACCATGTTTGGCCTTTTTCGTCGTAACGCCACCCAAGACAGCCCAAGAGGGCCCCAATCTCGACACCAAACGGCCTACGAGGCTCCATGGAAAGCCCCAGAACTGACCAGGAACGCTGTAAAGCGGCCCCAGGAGACGCCCAAGACAGCTCAAGAGGGCCTCAACAATAATCCGTCAGAAGAAACTGAGCCTGACATTTCGGACCCTGCGCCAGCGCGCAGGCCGTCGCATCCAGTGGGTCGAGGGACCCAATGTGGGCCCCGCATCAAAGAGGTTACTCCAGCGACGAGTGACTCGCACGCGCAGCCGAACTCGCCCAGTGGGGGAAATAGGGGAACAAAAAAAGTGGCGTAGACATAAAAACTCGGAGGTCCGCGCGAATTTCTCGGATCTGCGCTGAACGCCCCTCCCTGGCGCGCGGAGTGGCGCGCCGGGGGCGGCACTAGAGGCGCCGCTTGAGGCGCCAGCGCCGATCCGAGAAATCCGTGCGGACCTCCGAGTTTTGTTTACCCAGAGATTCGCAGTCGTGATTTTTTCAATGCGCGGTCCCCCTAAGTCTCGACTCATTCCCCAAGACCAGTTTTTCATCCGGAGTCCTTTTTTGACGGCCCTGGGCCCGGCGAGGGCCCCCAGAGGCCGAAAATGGAGAAAAACCTCCCCCTTGATTGTTTCAATGCGTTGGATTTCTGGGTTCAGGTCGCTCTTTGCTCCCCTGGAGAGCGCGTCCTCGTGCATGGGCCCCTGGAAATCCCGACCCTGGGACCGGTTCTTCATCCTGAACTGTTTTTGGACGGTCCCGACGCCTGGCGCGGGCCACCCAGGGCCGAAGATGGCCAAAACCCCCCCGTCCTGTCTTTGTCACGACGCGATCGTGTCTGGGTTTTGTTCCCCTGGGGAGTGCGTCCTCGTGCACCGACGCTTTTTCCGGCCCTGCACTGCAATTTGCGCAGGAGATCGGATCCTGGTGTATACGGAACCCTGGTGTATACATTGTTCGTTCTTTCCATGGGGCGACGGAGAAAAAGTATATACCACACCACCCCCCTAGTCGCCCCCGATCCTCGAAACAGCCCTGGCACTGAAAAACAGCCCGCCGCTGGTAGCGGACGTGCACCAGTCTCCGATCTTTGCTCCCCCGTGGAGAGACGGCGTCCTCGTGCATGGGCCCCAGCGACCCGCGGCGCGCCTCTCAGGAGCGGCCAAGAGGGGGGTGTCCAAGAGGGGGGGGTGCAAATCATGACCGGCGGTATGTGCGCGGCCCAGCGGGGGGGCCAGGGACGCAATGAAATAAGAAGAGGCGCCATGAAATCTGGGGAAATATCATGGCCCCCGCCATGATGTCCACCCCCCCCTAGTCATCACCCCCCTCTTTTCCGCCCCCGAGGCCTCCAGCACGTGGCGGAACAGCGGCTCCGCGGCCGCGGCCTGGCCGGTGCCGGCGAGCAGCACGGCCAGCTCGTCGTCGTAGCTGAGGGCCGCGCCCGACTCCTGCCCGAGGCGCTGGGCGGCGGCCTCGCGCCCGCCCCGGAGCACCTCTCTCGGCGGCGAGCGAGGGGCCTTCTCAGAAGGCGGCGCGTCCTTCTGAGAACTTTTCTGCGTCTCCGGGGAAAGTTCGGAAAACTTCTCAGAAGGCCGAGGGCCGGGTCCGACCTTAGCTGCCCCGATGCGCCACACGCAGCACGTAGCATATTGATACGGAGCTCAACACGCTGACTGAAAGCGTGACCAGAGATCCAACGTGCCCAGAGATCCAGCACACACGGAGGTTTTTTTCCATTTTCGGCCTCATGGGGGCCCTCGAACGGGCCCCCTGGACCGTCAAAAAACGACTCCGGATGAAGCTCCGGTCCTGGGGAATGGGTCGAGACTTCGCGGGACCGCGCACTTTAGTCACGACATCGGATCTCTGGGAGCACGTCGCACATCGATACGGAGCTCAACACGTTGACTGAACGCGTAGGTACGGCGCGATGCGATCGCCAGAGCGTGGGCCGACACGCTGAGCCGGCACGCGACGTATATTGGCACGGACGTTTGAAGCACGGTGCCAACCATCCTAAGATGCTGGGTCCTCGTTTCGAAGAGACAGCGCCCCGCGCCACCTCCTCTCCTCTTCTCCTCCGCCTCCCCTTCCCCCTTCCTCCCGTCAGCATCATCATCATCATCATCATCATCATCATCATCATCATCATCATCATCATCATCAGCACCTCCCCCCTCCCATCCCATCATCATCATCGTCATCATCATCATCATCATCACCAGCGTCAGTATCATCATCATCAGCATCAGCATCAGCATCAGCATCAGCATCAGCATCATCATCATCATCATCATCGTCATCATCATCATCATTATCATCATCATCACCATCATCATCATCATTATCATCATCAGCATCAGCATCAGCATCATCATCATCATCAGCATCATCATCAGCATCATCATCATCACCTCCTCTTCTCCTCCGCCTCCCCGTCAGCATCATCATCATCATCATCATCATCATCATCAGCACCTCCCCCCTCCCATCCCATCATCATCATCGTCATCATCATCATCATCATCACCAGCGTCAGTATCATCATCATCAGCATCAGCATCAGCATCAGCATCAGCATCATCATCATCAGCATCAGCATCAGCATCAGCATCAGCATCAGCATCATCATCATCAGCATCAGCATCAGCATCATCATCATCATCACCATCATCATCAGCATCATCATCATCATCACCGGCGTATGGCGTTTCAAGACGGGCGCACCGGGGCAGCCAAGGCGCCCGACTCCCGCCCGGGGCGCTGCGCGGCGGCCTCCCGCCCGCCCCGGAGCAGGGGCCGGCCGCCCCGACCTCCCTACAGGCCTGCCGGGACATGCTGTTGGACCCCCCCAAAAAAAAGTTCGAAGGACAGGAACAATATTCTTAGAACACAGAACCCGATGCGTTAAGACAAGACAGTCCCAGCAATGCTTCTTCCAAGACAATTTCGTGCAGACCACAGAAGGTTCTTAGAACATGGTGGGCCTACAGGCGAGCCAGGACGCTTCGCCACTGCTTGAACCTCTCGGCATGAAGGACCCTGAGAACCTGGCAACTCATTTCTTTCTCGAGCTGGGCGCTTTCGCTCAATCACTAGGGGAACGAACCCTTGACATCAACATAAAAACTCAGAGGTCCTCGCGGATTTCTCGGATCCGCGCCGGACCATCCTGGCGACGCCTCTGGCGCTGCCTTTGGCGCGCTCCGCGCGCCAGGGAGGGGGGTCCAGCGCTGATCCGAGAAATCCGCGCGGACCTCCGAATCCCACCAGCCCTCTGGGCGTAGGTGGTCTAGAGCAGATCCTCTTCCACCCCTCCCTCTTCCCCCTTGGGGAGGGGTTTACCCCTCCCCCTACCCCCTCCCCTGGACCTGGACGGGGGGGGCCGCGGGTAGTTAGAGCGTCCCAGATGGCCCAAGACGGCTCCAAGAGCGCCTCAGAGAACCCAAGATGAGCTCCAAGATGGCTCAAGATAGCGCAAGATCGCTCGAGATGGCTCCTAAGATGGTTCCAAGAAGCCCAAAGACGGCCCCAAGATAACTCCAAGTGGCCAAACAGCTCCCCAAGGAGGCCCCGAAGAGGCCAAAATCGTCCCAAAACCTAAGGAAAATCAATGATTTTTGCTTTCTCGCCTTTTCGCTTCCGATGGCCATCCGAGGCCTGGAGATGGTTCCAAGATGGCCCAAGAGGGCCCCAAGAGAGCCCCAAAAGAGCCCCAAGACGGCCCCAAGAGCGCCCAAGAGCACTCCAAGAGCGTTCCAAGAGGGGTCCAAGAGGCGATTTTAGGGGCTTCCGAGGGGGGGCGCTAATTAAACCCCCCCTCTTGTTTGATCGATCTCCTCCAAGATGGCCCCAAGAAGCGCCCAGGAAGCCCCAAGAGGTCCCAAGATGGCCCCAAAATGGCCCCAAGAGGCCCCCAAGAGGCCCCCCGGAGGCCCCCAAGAGACCCCCAAGAGGCCCCAAGAGCCCCCCCAGATGCACCCAAGATGCTCCAAGAGGCCTCGGCGAGAATGCCTAATCATTGATTCTACACAGGTTTTAGCCACATGGAGGCCTCTTGGGGGGGGGCACGGATTAAGATGACTCCAAGAGCGTCTGGGAGAGCCCAAAATGACCTCCAAGATGGCTCAAGATATCCCAAGATGTCTCATAATGGCTTCCTCTGTGTGCTGCCCACTTCTCTGATCGAGGCAATTCCTCTGGGCATCGTTTCTGGATGGGCTGGTGGGGATTCGCGAAGCGACAACAATTTGTATGTTTATGTCATTCTTCGTTCCCCTAATCTCGGGCCCCAGGACCCTCACATATCGATCCCGTTCGAAGAATGACGCAGAAAGATGGGGTATGGGGGTCCTGTCGCGATTTTTCAGTTTTGCGATGCTGCAGCTTTTTTGCGATGTCGGATCTCAGGGGGGACGGGTCCTGAGAGAAGCGGGTCCCGGGCCCTGCCGGGGGCTTCCCCCCCACGGCGAGCTCTGGAACAGGAGTGAATCTCAATAATGAGACCATCGATAACGCCAGTTCATCTTACGGCGGAGTCATACACAGCACAGGGGTCATTACCAAATATAGTGGGGAATCGCTCGATCTTCAGGGGGACAGGGCACGGGAGAGCCCCAGAAATGCACAAGCCCTCGGCACTGGACGGTTTCCCCAAGGGCCGTAAGCGACCCGAGGAGGAGGAGGAGGAGGAGGAGGAGGAGGAGGAGGAGGAGGAGGAGGAGGAGGAGGAGGAGGAGGAGGAAAAGGAAGAGGAGGAGAAGGAGGAGGTGGAGGAAGAGGAGGAGGAGGAGGAGGAGGAGGAGAAGAAGGAGGAGGACGTCTGGCTCCCAGCGGCGCCTCCTCCGCGCGGGCCTCCTCGCCCCTGCCGGCCAGACGGCCGGCGAGGCGGAAGGTCAGCTCCAGCGTCGCCGGGTCCCCCGGGCCCAGCACCTCGCCGTGCCTGCGCACGCAGTCCGCGTGCGCCCGCTCGGCCTCCTCGTCGAGCTCCTGGGGAGGGCACGGGAGAGGTGCCGCTGCCGCCACGCCCTGGGTATCTCTCGGGAGCGGCAAAGGAGGGGGGTGACGAAGAGGGGGGGAGTTTTTTTTGTTGTTGTTGTTGTTGTTGTTGTTGTTGTTGTTGTTGTTGTTGTTGTTGTTGTTGTTGTTGTTGTTGTTGTTGTTGTTGTTGTTGTTGTTGTTGTTGTTGTTGTTGTTGTTGTTGTTGTTGTTGTTGTTGTTGTTGTTGTTGTTGTTGTTGTTGTTGTTGTTGTTTTTTGTGTGGCTCGAGGCAAGTGCTGCGCACAGCTCGCAGGCCGCTGCGCACGCGCGGGCGCAATCGGATATCATAGAAGCCCGCTGACCGCCAGAATCATCGGTTCGGAACCAGAGCCAGCCAGCCAGAGATTCTCTGGGGGCCTCGCTCCGATCATGGCGCCGAGGCGAGTCCAGCCGTGGCGACGAGGGGCCCCCTCCCGAGGCCCCAGGGGTCGGGGGTTCGCTAGCGGGGGGGGATAAGCGGGGGATAAAAGGCACGGGCCCCTTTCCATTACCTCTCAGGCCCGCGGTTTCAATGCTGGGGAGCCCCTTTAGGGCCTCCTGCATGGAATTTCAAATCCCCCCAACGGTTTCTTGCCCCCCTGGCACCGGACGCCCAATCGGGCGCAAACGAGTGAGGGGGATCGGAATCGTTTGTGCTGAGCCGGGACTGGCTGCCTGAGCATGCAGCAGCAGCAGCAGCAGCAGCAGCAGCAGCAGCAGCAACAGCAGCAGCAGCAGCAGCAGCAGCAACAGCAGCAGCAGCAGCAGCGACAGCAGCAGCAGCAGCAGCAGCAGCAGCAGCAACAGCAGCAGCAGCAGCAGCAGCAGTAGCAGTGCATCACCCCGTCGGCCGCCGGAGCGCCTGGACGCAAGCCGACCAAGCACGCAACCGCGGCCCTGGCCCTGGCAGCTGTGCGATCGGATCGCAGGCATCGGCTTCGGAGCGCTTCTCTCTAGGAGGCGGCAGGGGGTTCTGAACTGGACGGGGCCAGAACAAATCCGTCAAGATAAGGGGGGGGTAAGGCAAATCCGCTGAAAATCCGTCCCCGAGCACTTCCCAGTCCATCCGGTGCAGCTTCTCACGCAGATCCGTCTTTGATGATCCCGCCCAGAAACGGCCCCCCCAGGGACAGAAGAGTTGCAAGCACCTGCCCGAACCCAAAGCCTCGAACCTCGCCCCCCCCCCCCCCCCCCCTTTTTGCTCGCCAATGCCAGGCCACCTCAGATCCGCAGCTGGCTCCAACATTAGAGGACAACAGACGGTATAAACATAACCTTTCGGCGCTCCTCGCGAATCTCTTGGATCCGCGCTGGACCCTCCTCCTGGGCGCGCGGAGCGCGCCAGGGGCGGCGCCGGAGGCGTCGCCAGGGGGGCCCAGCGCAGATCCAAGAAGTCCGCGCGGAGCGGCGACAGTTTATGCTTATAGCGTTCTTCTCCTTCGAAACTGATGATGATGAGGAGGAGGAGGAGGACGAGGAGGATGAGGATGATGCTTTTGATGATGATGATGATCCTGATGATGATGATGATGATGATGATGATGATGATGATGATGATGATGATGATGATGAGGATGATGAGGATGATGATGCTGCTGCTGATGATGATGATGATGATGAGGATGATGATGATGAGGATGATAATGATGATGCTGATGATGAGGATGATGATAAGGAGGATGATGCTGATAACGATGTTGTTTATCGCGTTTTTTCCCCTTCGAAGCATCACACCCCCCCCAAGCCTCCGAGGAGGCCCTCCCGATCGTCAGCGCGTCCAGCAGCAGCAGCGCGGCCCGCAGCGCGTCCTGCCCGCCCCCGCCGCGCTGCGCGTCGCGCCCCTCGAGCAGCCTCCGGCACAGGGGCACCAGCTCCTGACTGGCGACGACGACGACGAGGACGACGAGGACGACGAGGACGACGACGAGGACGACGACGACGACGAGGACGACGACGACGACCACGACCACGACCACGACGACGACGACGAAGACGACGAGGACGACGATGACGACGACGAGGACGACCACGACGACCACGACGACCACGACGACGACGATGATGAGGGCGGCAGCGCTGGCGGCGCCGGCTGCGCCAGGGACGACGAGGACGAGACCGCGTACGAGGGCGAGGACGAGGACGAGGGCGAGGACGACGACCCCGGATCTCCGACGATGCGGCTGTCTCAAGAGATGCTCCCGGACGAGCGCCCCCCATCGGGGAGGGGGTCGGGACCTCTGGAGCCGAGCACTGAGAAACCATCTCGTCCGATGCCTGACCTTGAGATCCGACGTATGCATGTATGTATTCATGTATGTATGTATGCATGCATGCATGTATGTTTATGTATGTATGTATGTATGTATGCATGCATGCAGGCAGGCAGGCAGGCAGGTAGGTAGGTAGGTAGGTGGGTAGGTGTGAATGTATGTATGTTTGTATGTATGTATGTCTGTCTGTATATACATGTATATAAAACACGCCTGGAGCCCGAGACCCCCATCTTCCTGCGTCATTGTTAGAAGCCTCTTAGATGAGGTCCGAGTAGATTGGGTCGGCGATGCATCGGCGATGAGCTGGCGATGCATTGTCGACGTGGGCGTTGCATCGGCGATGTCGACGCAAAGAACATCGGGCTCCACATCGAGCCGCATCGGCGATGCATCGGCGATGCGGCGCAGTCCTCCGACCCCATCTGCTGGGACCCCATCTAGGAGACCTAGCAATGTTCTAGCCAGATCGATCTGTGAGGGTCCCGGGGCCCGACACCTGGCGCAAACGCCCGGCTCGACAAAGAATTGGGACGCCAGGATCTCATGGGAGGCAGCGGCCCAGGCAGGGGAGCCCAGAATCGAATCGATAAGTCGGATCGGCGATCGAAACAAGTCGGATCGGCAAAAATCGGCAGCCGAGTCGGGAAAAGGCGAATCGGCGGAAATCGGCAGGCTAGTTATGCGTCCAATAAGAAATCGGAGCCCAAATCGGAATCCGAAACCGAATCGAATCGGAATCGGAATCCATCGGAGTCGAACCGAATCGAGTCGGAGGATTCGAAACGAGCCCGGCCCAGGCGACGACGAGGCACGCGCATGCTCCTCCTCGCTGCCGAGGTCGGCGCCCGCCGAGGCCGCCTCGGAGCGGACCTGCACGAGAACCTCGGGCGGCAACTCACGGGGGCCTCCCATACACCCTGCGAAATGCTTCAGAAATCATGGGTTAAGAAATTCAGTCTCAGAATTTGATTACAAACCCAGAATTTCTATCGAAATCTTAGGATTGACATTGAAACATTAAGAATAATCGAGACTCTGGCCGAAAACTTCAGTTTTCTTAAGAATCGCCTAGGGTGTACCATCTTGTCGGCTCATGCGAAGCGACGCTGACCGACGCTAAATCGACGCTAAATCGACGCCAGCCGACGCTAAATCGGCGCTATACCTCATCGGCTCCAGACGCGACTCGGCGCTGAAGACGGAACTTAGAGGGTACACCAGGCTCCCATGGTTTGCCACTGCGAGAACCTCCGCCAGCCGCTCCATGCAGTCGAGGCTGCTCCTGCGATGGCCCGCCGAGGGTTTTTTCGCGGGCGGGGGGAGGGGCCGACCGGGAGAGGGGGGGGGCTCTTGGCGAGGCCTGGCCCGCGGCGGGGAGATCCAAAGGCCCCCTGCGAGCCACCTGGCGACCCAGACCCCCTCGCGCTGATAGAAAAAAATCGGCGGGAAATTTTCGCTAATTTCGGCCTCTGGGCGCCCTGGACTGGGCGTCAGGACCGTTAACAAAACGACCACGAATGAAGAACCAGTCCTGGGGATTGGGTCGAGACCTGTGGGCGTCGTCGTGATTAAGTGACCGAAGAACGACGTAAACATAAAAACTCGGAGGTTCGCGCGGATTTCTCGGATCCGCGCTGAGGCCACCTGGCGACGCATCCGGCGCCGCCCCTGGCGCGCTCCGCGCGCCAGGGAGGGGGGTCCAGCGCCGATCCGAGAAATGCGCGCGGAACTCCGAGCTTTTATGTTCATGTCACCATTCGTTCCCCTAGTTATGAGAAAATCACGACGTTCCCAGATCCCCGACGTATGATTTTGTCGTAAGGTCGGCCCACAAAGGTCTCGACCCCTTCCCCGGGACCGGTTTCTCATCCCGAGTCGTTTTTTGACAGTCCTGCCCAGCGAGGGGCCCGAGATGCCGAAAATGGCAAAAAACCTCCCGTTATGATTCCTTCATTACTCCAGGGGGTCCGGGTCGGGGGTCTGGGGAAGGCAATGGAGGGGGGGGTGGGGGGCGGAATGCGGGGGCTCTCGGCGAGGTCTGGCCCCGCAGCGGAAGCCAGACGGAGGATGGCGAGCAGGACCCCGGCGAGGCCTTGCTGACAGCACTGGCCCACGCTGTTCCTCCTCCCGCGCTCGCATGTGCTCCTCCTCCTCCTCCTCCTCCTCCTCCTCCTCCTCCTCCTCCTCCACACTTCGAAGCCCAATCCCCGCCCCCACCCCGAGGCCGTCGAGAACGAGCTCGGGGTAACCGCCCGCTCCGGCACAACGACGCACGAAAGCAACGGGAGGTCCCCGGAGACAGGCGCACAAAAGCCAGCACGCGTGAAAAGCCTTCCACCCAGAAATCTCAAACTTCGAACGCCCAGATTTTGAGCAAGGACCGACCGTCCCAGCATTCCAATAGGCCTACCAGGACATGTTGTTAGAATCCCAAGCTGTTCTAGGAACAATAACAAAGTTCTCAGAACATAAACCCGATGTGTTAAAACGAGACAGTCCCAGCCAGAACTGTTCGAAGAACATGTCGTGCAACCTGCTGAAGGTTCTCAGAACATTCTTTGGTGGGCCTATAGGCGAGCCGGGACGCCTCGCCACTGCTTGAAGATTCGCATGGTCAGATGGAGGGCCCCTGGTTTTCAAGTCGGCCCCGACTCGTCAGGGGTGGCAGTGGATGGAGGTCCTGATTCGGCTGGCGCCCCTGTCGACCCTTTCCGCTTGTCCTCCTGCCGCGTCCTCTCCTCCGTCGAGGCCGGCCGTTCCGCCTCTTCTTTCCTCCTCCCCCTCTACAGGAAGACGCGGGAACTCGCCCCACAGCGCCTCTCCTTCCTTGTCGTCGTTGTCGTCTTCGTCGTCGTCGTCGTCGTCGTCCTCTTCCTCCTCCTCTTCCTCCTCCTCCTCCTCCTCCTCCAGACATCCGGGGGTGCTTTTTTTGTGGCGTTGGGCCCTGGGGAATCTGGCTGTACACTTTCAGCAGGACCAGTTTTACCCCAGGTAACCCCTGGACGGTCTTGGGGCCCAGGGCAGGCCTTCGAGGGGCCCCTGGACCGAGGACGGACAGGCCGCCTTGACTTCAGGCGCGATGCCGGGGATCTCTGGCAGCACCCGAGGATTCTTCCCACTCCTCGGAAGCAGGCGGAAAGAAGACCAACAGCTGTCCCGACGACGTACAGTCAACCTGTATATCAAGGATGCGCGATGAGGATGCAAGGGCCTTGGAAACTCAATTCGAAGTCTTCCGAGCGGGGCGCGGTCAACGAAAGTGGCCAAGGATGGGCCGAGGAGGCAACGATGCAAGGGTACCCTTGGGAAGGTTGCCCATCCTTACTATGCGGGTTGACTGTAAGACATCGGTGCTGGTGCGCCCCCCCGCCTCCCTCGCATCGATGGCGTCCAAGAGGGGGCGTTCGAGAGGGGCGATCCCAAAGGATGGTCCGAGGCACGTGCGCGGCCCAATGGGGGGCCAAGGGGCGCAGAGAAATGAGAAGAGGGGGCCATTCAATGCAGGCAGATCTCATGGCCCCGGCCAGGATATCCACCCTCCTGAGGACATCCCCCCCCTCTTGGCCGCCCCTGGTGGTAAATTTTGATTCCGCCCCGGATCCTGACCCTCGGAGGTCCCCATAGGTCCCAAGAGGCCTGAAGACGGCCGACACCGTCCGATAACCTTCCAGAAACGTTCGGAATCCCTCTTCGATATCCTCGAGGAGGGCCGAGGGCAAAGCTTAGGAAGCCCCGGATTGCCTCCTCTTGCACCTCCTCCTCCCCGGCTTCTAGGGAAACCAATAGGTACGGATACCGCTGCTCCCCCGACATCTCCTGGGTGCCTTGTGACCAGAACTTCGAGGCGAATCCAGCGGTGACGAGGAGGAGGAGGAGGAGGAGGAGGAGGAGGAGGAGGAGGAGGAGGATAAGGGAGAGAGGATCAATGCAAACCCAAGACGCATACGATGTTGCAAGCAGAAGTCCCTCCGAGATGTTCTTTCCACTGCGGGATGTGCCCCGCTGAAAGCCAATCGTCTGAGGTGTAAGGAGGGGGAGCAGGAAAAGGAGGAGGAGGAGGAGGAAACAGGATGAAGGAGAACTTTGTGGGAGGGGGGGGCTTTCCTGCCTCTCGTGTCTGCTGTACCCCCATGCTGCTGCTGCTCCTACTCCTCCATCTTTGCTCCTGCATACCTTCCGCCGTCTCTTCCGTTTCCGCCTCCTGCTTTCGCAGCCTGGTCCTGCCTCTGGTGTTGCTGCTCCTGCATCTGTTATGGCTGCTGTTCTTTGTCCTCCTCCTCCTCCTCATCATCCTCATCCTCATCCTCATCCTCATCACCATCGTCCTCCACCACCTCCTTATACTCCTCGCTCCATTCCCCTCTCCTCCTCGTTTCCCTCTCGTCAACATCCTTCATACCACCTCCCGCCCCTCCCCCTCCACTGCCAGTTCATCGAATCGTCCTAGACCGTTGAAACACTGGGCCAACGTGTGCAGCGGCAGAGTGGCGGCATGCCAACTTCTGATTGCGGTGCCTTGCCTAGCTTGCCGTCTGCACTGCGGGCACGCCCGTAGAAAAACCCTCGACGGCGCCGGGACCGACGACGGTGACTAGAGGAAGAAACAACTGCATACGCATAACGCATAACCTTTCGGAGCTCCGCGCGGGTTTCTTGGATCGGCACTGGACCCCCGTCCCATGCGCGCGGAGCGCGCCAGGAGAGGAGAGGGGGCGCCGCCAGGGGTGTCCAGCGCCGATCTAAGAAATCTTCACGCGTGATTCTGCAACTTTGTAGTCCTCGAAGCGACTCAGAGGCAGACGACCGTCGGGCGTTGCCTCCGATATCAAGCGGGGGGGTGAAGAGAGGTGCACCATCGGGGCCGCAGGGGGCCACAATTGGATACCTTGTGGGCCCCTTCCGTGCAGACCCCGATCCCCCCCCCTCCATTTTGGCCAGTTTCAAAAACGCTACACAAAACAGATTGCCATCTCTTGCGAGGGCAACTTCTGCTTGCGCAGGCTTCCGCCGGCGGAGCTGCCCTCGTTTTACTTCCGACAGTCTCCGCCGACCTTCTGCCGAGGAAGAGATGCCAACTCGTTCGATGCTCGAAGGCAAGGCCCCGTCTGGAACCCGTCACTTTCGGCTACACGCAAGAGTGGCCATAGGCAAGAGCGACCTTTGGTGCGCGGCTTCACGGGGGGGGGGGGCACGAGGGGGCCAAAACCAAGCGCGCCAGCCGCTGCTGTTGCCACGGGGAAGGGCCCAAATCAAGCAACTCCTGGTGCTTCAAGGACACCCAAGCACCTCCCAATGCTTGGGGGTCCTCCGTGGGCCCGCACAACAAGCCACTCCGGCGTGCTGGGCGCGAATTAACGGAAGGCGATACATGGGGGGAAAGGGAGGAGCCTTTTTCGGGCCCTCGAGGCCCCCTTCTGCGCCCAAAAGGGTCCCCTTTCGGCAGCCCTCGCTACCGCCCCCCCCCCCCCCCCCGATTATCGCCCCCGCCTTACCAAGAGACCCGATGTCATGATTTGTTCAGTTCGCGGTCCCCAGAAGTCCCGACCCTTTGCCCGGGACGGGTTCTTCATCCCGAGTCGTGTCTTGACGGTCCCGAGGCCCGGCGAGGGTCCCCAGCGGCCGAAAGCGGCCCAAAGCCTCGCGCCCGGGCGGAGGGGCCGCCCGCGGGCCGCCTGGGGGGAGGCCTCTTTGTGATGGGCTTTGTGTGTTTCCGCCGCCGCCACCAACAGAAGAAGTAGGAGGGGGAGGGGGTCCTCCTCCTCCTCCTCCCTCCTCCTCCTCCTCCTCCTCCTGCGTTTCTGCGTTTCTCGCTATGCAGCGTCTTGTCGCGCGCCCCGCGGGCGCGGAGCGCTCTGCAGCGGCCCACCAGGGCCGTGCGGGCGCTCAGACTGCGGCCCCGGGAACCCGGCCCCGAGGGAAACAGGGAGCCTGGGACCAGTAAATCATAGAGAAGGGAGAGAGGGGCCGGGTTTCAGTAAAACAAAAAGATGAGGGCCCATCTGGGCCCTCGGCAGGCGCCGCGCGCGCCCGTGCCAGCTCAGCCAGCTCGGCCCGCAGCCAGGCCTCGGCCTCTTTGTGGGCGGTCGGCCTGTTTGTGTGGCGGCTGGGCTCCCTTCGGCGCCTCGCGCTGAGCCCAGCCGCCAGGTCATCGGGTGGCTGGCCGCCTTCTCTGCGGCGGCCTCCACCCTTCGGCGCTCAGCGCTGTGGAGGCCCGCCGAGCCTCTGACTTCAGCGGCTCTGCAGCGCTGTCCTAGCCTCGGCCTCTTTGTGGGCGGTCGGCCTCTTGTGCGGCGGCTGGGCTCCCTTCGGCGCCTCGCGCTGAGCCCAGCCGCCAGGTCATCAGGTGGATGGCTTCCTTCTCTGCGGCGGCCTCCACCCTTCGGCGCTCAGCGCTGTGGAGTCCGCCGAGCCTCTGACTTCAGCGGCTCTGCAGCACTCTCCTCGCCTAGCGGTCGGTCTCATGTACGGCGGCTGGGCTCCCTTCGGCGCCTCGCGCTGAGCCCAGCCGCCAGGTCATCAGGTGGATGGCCGCCTTCTCTGCGGCGGCCTCCACCCTTCGGCGCTCAGCGCTGTGGAGGCCCGCCGAGCCTCTGGATTCAGCGGCTCTGCAGCACTCTCCTCGCCTGCCACGCGAGGGCCGTCGGTCATGACCCCCTGCTTTTGAGCTGCAGGAGGGTACTGATCTCGGATGTTGTAGATGTCGTTGTATGGGGCTGCGTGCAGATGTGGAGCGAGTTGGCGAGGTCGTTGGGGATCGGGCTGTTGCTGGTGTTGTGTTGGTGGTGGGCTCCCAAGGCCTCCATGCACCGACTTCAAGTGGGGGTCGTTACTGTCCCACCTCGTCCCGCTATGGCTAGGGGTCACGGTGCCCTCGGTGGGGGCGAACCCCAGGCCTGGTACTTGTCGTCGGAGTGGTGTGTCTCGGCTGTCCAGCTTCGCCCTCGGGCGATCGGGTAGCTCCTCCTTCTCCATGGGAATGGTGGGGGTGGCGAGCTAGGGCGGACCGCGGGGGCGCGGGTAGTGGCCGTCCTACCCCCCCCCCTGCCCCTCACCATCCCCGCTGGCGGGCGCGGGAAGTACTCGTCCTTCCCCCCCAGCCCTTCGAGCCCGTCTCGAAGTTTGATCCTCACCAGGACAGCGTTGACTTGAAAGGAGTTGTTGGGGGTCGTGTTGGGTATGCTGTCGATGTCGGTCGGTGATACGCTGACGACCAATGGGCCGCCCGCCAGCTGGCGCCATCCATGCTGTAGATCTCCAGGAGCCGCCGCGGTACACATCAAAACGTGGCGACTTGTGCCTGGGGTGTTCCCTCGCATTCGGGGCTTCCCCAGGTCTTGCGTTCTAACGATAGCCAAGGTTGGCGACGCTGCCTGAGGTCTTCCCACGCATTCGGGGCTTCCTCAGGACTTAAGCAGCACACCGTAATGCCTGCCCAGGGCCAAATAATCATAGTAAACAATGCCAATGTTAGGAAAGTCGGTAAATCCAGCAAGTGCTCGAGGGGGGGGCACGCTCCGTCGCCATTGAGGGATCGTGCCCACCCGTATGGGCGCTACGGGTCCCCCCCCCTCGAGATGGCACGCAATCGTTGTCCAGGTCGCATCCGTGCCAGTAGCCCGTTAGCAACAGGGTTTGGGCCATGCCGTAGGTGCGCTGAGACTTCTGCAGCCAATCTGAAATACTCTGTATAAAATATTGTAATGCCGGCTGCCATCAGATCTGTAGCAAGCCGGTGGTCTGCGCCAAATTGCAGACCAGTGTTCCCTTACGGGGCAAAAGTATATAATACTGGACGCTTGACTCGCCTAACTGCACCAAATAGGCCGCCGCGGTGCCAATTGCTAGCGCCGATGGTTGCCCCATGCCCTGTGACAATCATGGCCGATCTGGTCTGTCTCCATGTAGTAATCCAAGGGGGCGTAGAACCTGTGGTAGCAGTCGTCCGTTTCGGCCCACATTGCCTCTGCGTCAGCAAGCTGCCCCCAGTGGGCTGCGAAGGCGGTAGCCATTGCCTTGCACAGCCTTGATGGATACTCTTTGAGGGGGGCGGTCCTCCAGCCGCCTTGGCCGTCTCGTCCGTAAACTCCGGCATGTCCCGCATGTCGGCATAGCTGTCCCCCAGGTACCGCCCTTAGCTCCTGTGCGAGTTCACCGAGGTGTGCCGCCATCAGACATGTTGGTTTTCTCGCGTCCTGCCCGAACTGGCACTGGTCTATGTAGTGAAGTTCGACGCCCGTCTGCTCCAGGAGCCAGAGCGTCTCTGCTCGCTGCCAGCTGCTAGGCGCTTGGGGGCACCATGTGGCTGGGGCGGGATGCTCGAGTACGGCTGAGACGTTGTACTGCAGGCCCGTGGTGATGAGTAGTAAAGCTGTCCTGTATAGCTCGTTGGCTAGTGCGATCTGTTGATGCTCCGCTTGGCTAGCTGCTTGTATGCCCCAGGGGGCTTCATGTGTACGTAGTGGTCGAGGTGCCTTCCCCTCGGCGGCATGCCAGCGCGATGAGCACCACGTCTCGCAGGGCGGGCCCGCCACAATACCAAATATTTTGCCCTGTCGTATCGCTGCGCACCAAAAGTCGACGACGTCTGGCTTCGTCAGGTCTCCTTTGACGGGGTCTATCTGCACGTCGATCGATAGTACTACCAAGTTGCATTCCCGAATGTTCATCTCGAAGTGGTACTGGAAATCCTCGATTCGACGTCTGCCCGAGAAAAGGTGCAGCAAGAACATAGCCGTGGTAACCATGGGCCTGCACGGTGAGAATACGTTTGCAGGTGGTGTCGCTGTTTGGACGTCCGCTGCCGCAGGCGGGGCCGGCGAGAGTTGGAGCTGGTGCTGCTCTATGTAGTCGGCCAGCTTGAGCTGTATGACCTGTTGGGCGGGCACCAGCGCCTTTGTAGCTCCATGCCCCATTGCCTTCCTCGCCGCCACAGCTTCTCGTTCTTCTTCTCGGCGTTCGGCTGCCTCCTGCAAATCCATTGGGACCTCGATGGCTTGGAGGACCGCCAGGCACTTGGGGCACCTTCTCAGGTGCTTGAGTATGCGGGATCTCGTTATGAAGTTCTTCCCGCACCCAGGGCAGGTAGTCGAACGGGCAAGCAATTCGGGAAGGTCGTAGCCGATGTGTTCCATGGTGCGATGGCGCTTCCATGCTCCCCGAGTTTTTAATATCTTGCCACACTCATAGCATATGTAGCCACAGTGCTGTGCGGGCGGCAGCCCCTCGAAGTTGGGCGTGGTCATTCCAAACTCTTGCGCAAGACGGTGTAGCTGCCTTTGCCAAACTCGATGTCGATATATGTCGTGCTGCCATGCTTTGTACCTGAGCCACGCACGGGTGATCGTGGCTTGTGCGGCTCGCACGTGCTGTGTGCGTAGCCATCGCAGCAATCCCCTGATGTCGCTGCCGATGTCCTCGTCGTCTAGTAGGAAACTTCTTATCCAGTCCAGATCATCGACGATAAGAGCGTTCCAGGCCTTCTCATCCTCCCAGAGTTCGTCGATGAGGCGGTGGAGGAAGGGCGTGTCTGCATGCGCCATCCTGGCCAGGTACATCAGGCGCCGTCGGCGCAGGTACATGTGGATCGGTACTTCGTCGCACAGCAAGTATATTTCGTCATCCAAGGTATGTACATGTCCCGCGCTGTGTCGCTGTTGTCTTGCGGCGGCCCGCAGACTCGCCATGTGTCTGCTCTGCAGCATCTGCTTCTGCTGTACTGTAAGTGGCCCCCACACTTCGCAGTCGTAGGTCAGCTTGCTTTGCGCCAGCGCCGTGAGGTACAGCAGCTTGGCCTTGAGGTCGATGTGCGGTAGGCGGAAGATGGACTTCTTCAAGGGGCCCTCTGCGGATCTGTGGTCTATGATGCGTCTCATAAGGTTCGGCCCCTCCCCACCATCACTCGTCACGATATTGCCCAATGTGAGTCCCTGGGTCGTGACCTCCGCCGTTGACACTTCAGTGCTAGTTGGCGGTTGACCATCCTCGCGCCGCAGCGTGATGGGATTTGTCTTGAAAATCTTCGCCTTGATATGCTGCTTGGCGTGCCCATCGATATGCAGCAACGCTTTAGTCTTCTTGGGGTGTAGGTCATGCCCGAAGATCTTGAGTCTCCTTGCAATAATGGACAATATGTCGAAGATGCTGCTCTCGATTTTCGTGTTGTCGTTAAGTACGCACAGGAATGTCGCATCGTCCATGAAGGATACTTCTGGCAGGGTCCCTTCCAGCCCTTGGAGCTGGCCTGACGTGACAATGGCTTGTTCGCCCGCTGGTGGTAGTTGTAGTAGGTACCCTCCTGCATGTAGCTCCTGCTCCAGTGGGCCCAGAGCGTGCGCGAAGCTGATGTTGAAGATGAGGTCGGCCAGGCCGTTGCCTGGGCGTGTGCCCTTGCGGCTCTCCGCGCAAAGCTCTTCTCCCCGCACTTGGAAGAATGTCGTGTCGTGTGCTTCCTCTAGCTGGAATCGCAGGTTCTCGTCTACATCGTTGAGTGCTAAGTAGCCTGGAGACGCTATCAGCTGCTGGATGGCCGGCATGAGCCATTCAGGTGGAGCGCCTCCTGCCATCACCTTTAGGAGCCAAGGCTTCTCCCCTTCCCGTCCCAGCACAAATTCTCGAATAACTGAATAAAAGGCCTGTCGTAGATCCAGCAGGATGCCGACTGCGCTGAGACGTCTCCGCCTGCAGATCCTGAAGAACGCTTTGATAGTATGGGTGGAGTACGCGCCTGACTTCTTCGGGATTCCGCCATGCTGGGTGACTCTCAGCAGGCTGCTGCAGACCCTCAACGTAGTTGCGCGGAGCCACTTGTGGTAGTGCTTGGCCACGGTGTTGTTGAGGAGGATCGACCTGTAATATTCCAGGAGGGCCCTCGTGCCGCTACCCTTGTACAGCTTCACTGCAATACCTGCTTTAAATTGGATCGGTTCTCGGCCTCGCAGTATCGTCTTCAAGACGACTGGGTACCAGTGGCGGGCTGTCTCCTCAGGTGCGAGTTTGAGGATGTCGTCCAAATTGCCGTCGGGTCCTCCTGCTCGGCCCTTCTTGCCGTCCGCAAAGCTCTCCACCAGATCGTTGAGTGTCATGTGCAGGTGCTGTGAGACCTCGTCGGGTGGCGATCTGTGGGTACGGCTGATATTGTAGCGGTCCGCCAGGTCGTACTTGTCCCTGATGTCGGCTGACTCAATCTTGGCGAAGTGCTGCAGGGTGGCTCTGCTGATCTCGCCCTGGCTGCCCATGACGGTGCCGTCGGGCTGCTGCATAGTGGGCAGCGCGCTAACATATTTTGGTTTGCGACCGCCGTGGATTAGAATCTTCTTTGTCAGCTGCCACTCGGTCCTGGCGTCTCTTGCTGTTCTGCTATCCGCCAATTTGCTGCCAAGTTCGTGAAAGTAATGGTTGCGGTCGGTACTCAGCTGGTGTCTGAACGTGTCCTTGGTGTGGTCGATGAAGAGCCTGGCAGCGTCATGCGCGATGCCGAGGCAGCCGGTGGCATGACTGAGCTGGCACGCTCCAACAAGGGCTGCCACAGAGCAATACCAGCTATCTTCCACACGGGCATAGACAGGCGCCTCATAGCAGAGCCTCTTGCGGAAAACTTCAAGAGGTGCTGGATCCCCGTTGTTCGTGTAGGTCCGCGTGGAGCTCTCAGCGTATCTGCGCAGCCTCAATAGGCGCATGCTAGCCTCAGAGATTGTGACGTTGCAAGGGGTAAGCGGGTCCCGTCCGAAATGCTGCTTCGTCTTCTCGGCCAGGAGTCCCGCTGTCTCGTGGTAATGGTCGTTGACGTCTGCCTTCCACGGTGGTAAGCTGATGTTGTTCAGGTCCTGCTTGAATGCGGTGATACGCTCTGGGTTCTTGAGTTTGTTAGTATCCAATAACCCGTTCCCCTTCGAACTACGGTGGCGCCCGATGATTTCGCCCACAACTTCAACTAGCACGGGCATGTGATCTGTGGTCGTGTCGTAGCCGTTCTGGGCGTAGTTCCTCCTCTGCTTGTTGTGCTCGTTCTTCTTTCTGGCGGTTGGCTTTTGAAAGTCTCTCAAGACAGTGCAAGCCGCCACGCACTTGAACAGGCAGGGAGCCATGGCGACGTAGTCGATGCGGTTGGAGATCCCGTCCTTGTGGTACGTGTAATCGTCGTTGTTCCCGTAGTATGTGTTGACGACGTGCAGGTGGCAGCTGGCGACAGACTCGTGGAATTCGTGTCCATTCTTGTCTGTCAGCTGATTTGGACCTTTCTGGCCCAACCATTGCGTGTCCTCTCCGTCCTTGTGGCTTAGCTTGGCGTTCGCGTCGATGAGCAGGATCTCTGGTTTCCACGTGTCACACAGCTCCCTGAAGTGCTCCCACCAGCCGTTGATGTCCTTGGCCTTCTGGTACGGGGCATGAGCAACGGCGATGACGTGATGGAACAGAGGAGCCTGCACGCGGACAAAGAGAATCCTGGCTGACGAGTACAGTTTTGTCAGCTGGGACTGCTTGAAGTACAGGTCTTTCCCGTTGAGCTGCCCGTACGGTAACTCGACGTTGAGTAGTAGTGCACATCCCCAGTTGCCGTCCTGCGCATCGCTCTGGATGTTGATAAAGCCTTGTCCTGTCCATATGGCCTCTCTACAGCGTGTCTCCTGAAGCCCCGCTACGTGTACATGGTGGTCCAGGAGCTGGGCTCTGACTAGAGCCCCTTTACTGGAGATGTCCAGGTGCATGTCTGTGGAGGTGAAGTCGCCCACCATGGACTGAGCGTTGTACTGCACGATGTTGAGCTTCAGCGTGCCCTTGTTGTAGCTGTCGGCGGTGAGGTCGGGGATGTGGTCTGCATCAGCCCGCTGGGGCGAGACGTGCTCCTCGAGCCGTCCATGCCTCCACGGTGGGTACGCATGTAGGTCATTGCCCGCTGGGTTGGCCATCCAAGCCCATTCGAGTGTGCTGGTATACTGTACTATATTGACTAGCTCTTCCGCAGGTGGTGGTGGTGCTGGTTGGAGTGCGGCATATTTTGATAGAATATCTGCTGCTTCATTCCAGGGTGCGTCTCGATGCGCATGAGTGTGCTC